ATTTGAGAATTTATAAACTGTCTCAGAATCAATTCGTTACATCCGTTAATTACGAAAATGAACGATTATAAAGTTGTGCAGCTATAGTAGATCATAGTTTGACCATCCTAACCTAAAGACTATTATAAAATCGTTACGGCGTACAGATGTTTATACATGGTTTTAAATTAATGACAAAGATATTTGTTAATATTAATTACCGGACTTATTTGTCGATGAGTGAATTGTATTGTTCTTTGTATATCATTGTTTTGATACTTAATGCCGTTTGAGACCTCCAGATCATAATTCTTGTCTTCTTTAAAAAAAAACAATATTCCATTATTTTATTTATAGTATATTCAATTCTGTTGAATATATAATTCTTTTCTAGATTTTTAGTTTAAAATTAAAAAAAATAGTAGAGATTTATTAAAAACTTATTGCTACTTATGAAAATAATAATCTGCAAAATTTATTAAATTGGCAGTAAATCGTTATATTAATTTTAATCTTGACAAAATCATTTGTAATGATGTAATTTTATTTAGGATATCATTTCAAAAGAACTAGAATTTGCATCTGAAAGTCTTGAACTGTACCTATAAGTATTATAGATCTAGGCCACAAAAAGTTAAAAAATTGAAATTATAGTAGCTGTTTAAAAATTTTGTCATCTATCATTATCGACGTAACACCGAACATGTTTGCGCGTGTGTCCGGTCCAAACTATTTAATAATGTTTTTCTAATAAAATAGCGAATTACGACGAACGAATGTTTTGCATTTCTATTACCCTGAAAAAAAAAGCAGATTTATAAATAAATTTTTTTTAATAAGATCGATAAAAAGAAAAAAAAAGAAATCGGCTAGATACTTCCGAAATTTTATAAAATTCCTTTATTTTTGAAAAAATGTACTCTGTCGCGTTACAAGAAAGCCCTATATCACCATTAAATTGGCGAACCAATATAATACTATTGATATATATATATAACAGAAATAATTTAAATATTTATCTAGAATAAAATTTTTTCAACTTATTCAAATAGTATCTATATCTTCCGTGTAGGCGTGTATATGTATACGTTACCAGCTAAAAATATGAGATTTGAGACTTCCTAATGTAAAAAATTATATTATTTTGCAATTTGGAAAAATAATTCTATAAATCTCACTCGGATGTAACTATTAAATTATCCTTTTATTCCTTTACGTTTTTTTTATATAAATTAGAAGAATCAAATCTGTCATCTGTCTAAATTATTAATAAAATTGTAAAGAGTAATTATTTTTTAGAACATTGTACTTATTAATGTTTCATGAATATATTTATTTATATATAAAGAATTCAAAGAATTCAAAAAAATTCAAAAGATTTAAAAGTCAAGTTTTATAATTTTTTTTGAATTATATTATATATATTAATTTCTTTTAAATATTTGAAAAAAAGAGGATATAATTTAATATTCATATTTTAAGTTAAATTCATCTTCATTTTTGGCTGGTAATATATATTATAAATAACGCATATTTTTAAATTATATAATATATACGATATATTCTTTTCATTTCTTACATACTATTTCTTCTTTCACGCTCTTCCATTCACACTTTGTTTCTATTCACTAATAATCGGTAAACTGGAGTCAGGTTTCAAGTGATATAAAGATATACACAATTTTAAAAAACTGTCCTTTATAAATGTCACTCGTAATAAATAATTGCAAAACATTTGATCGATACATATTATAACAAATTTTATATATATGATGGGCTTCTATAGGTCCATTAAGTACCAGCATTTATATTTCTTCAAAAACCCTTATATTATCATATATCTTTTTAAAACTATTCTTTTATTACTCTATCTTTGAAAAATATTTCTTTTTTTCCTTTCTTAAATTTTTATATCTATTCGTATATTGTTGCATTTTTTTTTTTTTTTTAGAATTTTTAATGCTAGTTTTTGCAATATATATATATA